TATCTATCTATCATATATATATATATATATATATATATATATATATATATTATCCCACATATGAATTGAAGATTAAATTATATAGATTTTGGATTATTTTTTTTATTTCCTTCACACTTATAACTCTTTAATATGTACGGATACACGTACTACTAAAGAAATTATTTTATACTAATATACTTTTTATATTAACATAATATTTGTTATTAAAGTTTATTTTTATCTATATTTATATTCTCATAATTATTAAAAATATATGTATAGATTATAGTAACATACAATATATATATATATATATATATATATATATATATATTGTATCTTGTATATTATGGTATGTAATATTTTTTGTAGTAAAAATAGTTATAAATTATTTATTATAAAATTCTTTCCTTTTTACTTGGTTCAAGGGCTATCTTTAGAGTTGTCAAAATAAGTTAAAATTTGTGAGTTAATTTATGGCACTCATTCTATCCCAATAAATAATATAATTAAATAAGGAAAAAATTTAATAATTCAGGTAAAACATGTTCACATGTAATCCACTTCTAATCATCCGACCAAACAAAAATAATTATAAGATGTAAGATTTTTAGCAACAAAAGGTAAATCAATATGAAAGATAAAATTATATTCTAATTTCATTATCCTGATGTCACATTGTCTAAGCAAACTTGTTGCTTCAGCTCTCGGTACCTTAAGTACTAGCCTCATCACTTATCTCATTACCTAAAATAACACCACAATATATACGAGTGAGGAAAACGGTTATTCATATGTACGACACAAGAAAAGAATTTTACCCAAACATATAATCAACCTTCATATGATTCACAGAAATAATCAATCATAATAATATTATTATCTTATATATACATGAACATAAATTAATATCACCACTAACACATCATTATGCAACTCATGCGTCATGCTTATGCTCACGCAATACATATACAATGTAGTCTTCTAAGAAACATCAACTCAGAACGTCACACAATGGGTGAACTTCATCAATCTCCTTAGACATTGCCACACATGGTCATACTGCTTACATCACTTATGATCGGTGTCACACTCAGGGACGGACCCATGTAGAAGAGAGTGGGGGCACATGCCCCCACTACCATTTTACATACATATATTTTTTATTAAAAAAATAATATATTTTTAAAAATAAGTTATATTATAACAAAATAAATATATATTTAAATCATCATATGTATAAAATATAAATTTAATATATTTATTCATTTATTTGATATTTATCAAACTTTCGAAGGAGATTAATTATTATATGTGATAAAAAATACTCTTTAATAACGAATTAATTTTTTAAAAAAAAGTGTAATTTTTGATAAAACAAAATTTGTAGCATATATATTTACCTTTTATGCTTTTTATTTATGTATACATTGATTAAAAAAATTAAAATAGTAAAAATTGTAAGATTATGTACGTTGATTAAAAAAACAAAATGGGAAAGATTGGAAGATTTATATTCTATTTAGAATTTTTATTATAAAATATGTTTTGAAATAAATTATCATCTAAAATATTATATTAGATATTAAAAATATATTTATATTATAAATAAATTAAACTTGACTTTTATACAATTTAACATATTTATTTTTATATTTTTATTAGTATTAAATTATTATAAAGTATATTTTTAGGATTGTAGTTCTAATTAAACATTTTAAAAAATGTCTATGATAAATAAATAAGTCATATTTAATACATGTATTTAAAAAAAATTTATGTTCAAACCTACTAAATTATAATATAACATCGTCTGACCTAACTTATTTTCATCATTAATCGTAAGCATATATATAAAAATTTGTAAAAAATAATTATAATATATATTTATATTTTAAAAAATTACATGTAAAATTTTTAGTACTATAAATATATAAATAATTATTACCCTCATTATCTAAAATTTCTGGATCCGTCATCGGTCACACTGTTAATCACCACTTATGGCCAGTGTATAAAAATTACCCTATTAATCACCACTTGTGGCTAGGGTAAATGTGTATGCAACATGCACAAATGTTCATGTCATGTCATCTCATCCATTCATTAACTTTATCCCATGCCAATGCATAATTAAATATAAAGCTAAATCTACTCCCATTTGTACATTAAATCATTCAAATACACACCATTCATACTTAATCATACAATAGTAGTCTCCACTAGACATTACACCATTCACAACCATCATCAAAATTCATCAATATATAACATATTCATAGTCTGCATCAGGCTTCACCAAGCTGGGCCTGGCTCCAAGCAACAACAAAGAGCATACAACATTCTCACGTTTCACACCCAACTTAATTATAATTACGCCTAACACTAAGAGCAAACAGAGAGCACACAATATTTTCACGATTGGCTTAATTGGATTGTTAAGTACAATGTTAGAATAAAAATAGAAAATCTTAAGAATTTAGGGATTGCTCCCACTACCCATCATCTCTTGTATTCCCACACATGAATGACTCACTTCCCTCCCTATACCTTATTGTTATTATCTAAAACAATTTGACGCAGTTTGAGACAATTTGAGTACTTCTCCTTAGAGTTCCTTCCTTCTTGTCATTTTCTCTCTTAGTCCTTCTAGAAAGTTAAATGAGGCTGATTAGGATAACTCTGTCTAATCACTCCCTTAAAAACTCATTGAACCAGGTTAACCCGTCCCATTTCTCTTCTCCCACTAAATTAAATAAATTAATATAATAAAATAATTCTCCACGTATAAAAATAAATAATAATTTTGGCCATAATATAATAATATTTTAATAATATTATTATTTTAGAAAATAGAATGTTACGCAGTTTGACCCACCACAAGTTTGAGCTATGTTAGGTTAGAAAATTTTGGCTTGTTTCGATCATAAGAAAAATTTTGCCCGATTTACTTACAACTCGGTTTACTTACAACCTGACTCACCACAACCCATTGTAAGTCAAGTTAGCTCACTGGTTGGTTCACCTAGTATACTTTTTATTTTATTTTATATTTTAGGATCCCAAATATTAATTTATGTGATTATATGTTTTTATCATTAACTAAATTATGTACATACTAGTTGTGAATTATGATATTTAGTGTCAATTTGATATTATTTGTTAATATTTTATGCAACAACTTTAATTTTATAAATTGATTAAGTTGGTTGTGGATGATGTTTAATTTTCTTGACATTTTCTTTGTCTTATTTGTTAACTTAGTAATTCTAAAATATAAGATTATAATATATATATATATATATATATATAAAGTTTAATATATATATATTTTTAATTTAAGTGAGTCAACTCATAGTAGGTTGGACTAAGTCAAGTTGATTTTTTAAAAAACTCACTTAAAGGTGAGTCGAGTTGAGTTAGTCCACTTGTTGCCCAACCTGTGATGAACTAGACCAGACTAGATTATCTACTTTGACAACTCTAACTACCTTACATGAACCCATAACAATCTAGATATTCATGAAAAACAAGAGATTCTAATAAATATAAAATTATTAAACTAAGTACAAGTTGTAACGCCAAAATTATCTAACAATTATTTGTAAAATGAAATTCACTAAATTGATTATTCAATTACATTTGTTATTTTTTATTTTATAAAATAATAACAAGTATAATATATATATATATATATATATATATATATAATGTCCAATCGTTGGAAGAGTCAAAATGATATATTATTGGTGCATATTACATATGAAAATAGTTGACATTAGTTCTTAGGAGATAACAATTTAATTTAACAAGTAAGTAATTTATGCATATGTATGGATAAGATTGTTATTAGTTTATATATTATTTTTCTTGGTATAATTTGTAAAATAGGTATTTTTTAGACATTTATGTTTAATAAATATTACAACTTTTATTGTTAAATTCATAACATTTGCTAGGAAAATTTGTTTTGTTTAAAAAAAAATAGCAAAAGTGAAAAATAGAAAAAATATCTTAAACAAATGTAAATACCTTGTCATAATAATTTATACTATTTATGAATGTTATATCACTTTTTGGTTTCACTTTTCTTAAAACTCAATTACCGTTTAACTTATTTATCTATATTTATTTACAATATTTTTATTTTTATATCTATTTCTCATTATAACAAAAGATTATTTTAGTGACTGCATATTATCTTTCATAATAACAATAATTATTAAATAATTATTTTTTTCATCAAATAAAATCACCATTGTTATCTTTTTAATAATTTCTATTATTTTTTTTTTAACAAATATATAGAGACATAGTATGTATCTTTTCCATTTTTATACTCTACTATATATAAAGGGTATATCAATTGTATAATTTATTTTTGGTCTCCACTTTTTTAACACCATTATACTTCTTATAACTATTTTATCTTCAATTTATACTTTTGATGGACATAATACTTTATATAAAAGGTAAATTTCAATTATAGTGTCAAATGAACTTTTATATAGGGTTTTGTATGTGCTTTGCATGTAATCATGGCAAGCAATGTCCTCATACTTTGATCCTTCCTTCATGTTGATAACTCTTCATCAACCACTAAGGTGGTTATTCCAGATGTTTCTCGTAATAAATCCCTTGCTCAAGCATTATAGAACACATGTGATGTCCCATTAAGCCAACTTTTGACTCCTTGCTGGAAGGGAGATGCTTTGGCGATTACTATCCTGAAGAATGATTATCAGGTGGGTCTTTATAGCTGCAAAATGCATCTACATAATCGATTAATGCTCTTGAAAGGTACCAAACTACCAACGTCCAACGTCCTTTGTTCTACATTGGAAGATCTTTGGAAGCCTCTTCGGTAGTGGCATATGATTTCAATAGGAAAAGGGTTCTTTCAGTTTTCTTTCTCTTCTATTAAAGATCAACGTCGGGTTTTGACTGGTATTCCTTGGAGCACCAAACCAAGGATGTCACGTCTTTTTGCATAGGCTCCTAGTTTTAATCCATCGTCGATGTGTAACTCAAATGCACAATGTTGGGTATGGATTCTTGGTCTCCCTCTTGAATATTGGTGTCCACATATATTGTTTACTATTGCTAAAAGGGTGGGTGTTTCCCCTCTCTCTGGATAATGCCACAACTAATAAGACCTTTGGCTATTGTGCCAAAGTTTTTGTGGATATTAACCTTAAGTATGATCTACATGATCAAAATTTGGTTGAATGTGAAGGGTTTGTGAATCTTGTGTATGAAAAACTACCTTTTTTTTATGATTCTTAGAAAGTGGTGGGTCACTCTTATTGAGTGCAAACATGGATCTCATAAAGGCAAGCCTAGGGAGAAACCTTCTTACTCGAAGTTGATTCAAATGGGCATGGAGATGATGTAGGTTGTATGGTTTAGAAGCTTGTGGCACAAGTTAGGCTAACATAGGTTAAGTGTAACCTAAGTTAGGTTAACTTAAACTCAAGACTACTAACCACAGTTACAAAATTTAAATTTGAATATTTTCCTCCCAAAGACAATGAAAGCTTGTCACATGACGAAGTAAGGAAAGTGTGACTCATGTTTCTATTTTAGATATAGAACCAATGTGAGGTTGACATTTACCATTGTATGTATAGTGTAATTAGACAAAGTCATGTGACATGTTGACTCCTTGAATGGTTTGTAAGACAACCTTGTCTTCTCCATGTTGGATGTCCAACACACTTGCTTCAAACAAGTGGACTTCTCACACATAAGACCAAAGTAGTGCTCATGGGTCATTCAAGCCTAATAAGTCCAAATAACGTTTTTTTAGTTGCACCCTTTTAAAATAGTATTTATACCCCTAAAATAAAAATTACAAAGCAATAAATTCCTAAACTACTTGACCCAAAAATACAAGTTCAGAAATTAAGAAAATATTTACAAGAAAAATATATACAAAGAGAAAATAAGCTACTAAAAGTAACTCAAAGCTCAATACGAGTTTGATCTGACTTCCTTTAAGCCTAATTAACCTACTCCTTTTGACCCTTTTAGGACTTGACACCCTTTGGAATGATGTCATCAAATTGAGTTATTTTTTTTGTTTATATATATATAAATTATACACACATATGAAATACTATTAATAAAGAAGATTACTTTACTTCATTTAGTTATAAATTTTTTATACCTATTTTACCCTTGCCTTAATCATAAATATAAGAAGGTTAAATTATACTTTTAGTTCCTCTATCTATTTTTAATATCCAATTTGGTCTCACTATTTTTAAACGGTTTAATTTGGCTCTCTAATTTTTTTTTAAAATGTTCAATATTATCCTTTTGTCCAAATTGACATTAACAACGTTTATAAATTTGGAAGGAAGGACGACATTGAACATCTTTTAAAAATTAGAAGACTAAATTGAATCATTTAAAAATAGTAGAACCAAATTGAATATTTTAAAAATAGAGAGAATAAATTGAATAAAAATTTATCACACATTTTTTTGTCTAGATAAATTTAAATTTTATTTTAGCTATCTATATTTTTTTTATTAGATAACTCCTTTATTGTGGATCATTTTCTTTAATTCCATGTATTCAATTCATTGTCATTCATGGTCTTGTTAAGATTAGTAAAAGAAATTTAAATTTATCTTAACAAAAAAAAATGTTATATAAATTTTTATTCAATTTGTTTCTAATATTTTTTTATATTCAATTTGATCCTCTAATTTAAAAAAATTATTCAATGTTATCATTTCATTTGATTTTATTAACATTGTTAATGTCAATTTGGGTGAAAGGACAATATTGATTATATTAAAAAAATTAAAAGATTAAAATTGAATCTCTTAAAAATAATGAGACTAAATTGAATTCTTAAAATAAATAATAAGATTAAAAATATAATTTAGCCATATAAAAATAACAAACTTCAATAAAAAATTATCTATTTTTCAAGATGACATGGAATTCTTTTCTTCTTACTAGTAATATTAGAATAGTGATGTATTTGCTATCCTTTTTTAGGATTGGTCGCTCCGCTCTAATGTGGAATTGGCAACTATGATTTAAATACACTCTTTTTGTTGATTAAAATTCGTTAAAACTATAAAATCATAAGAAAAGTTTATCAAATAGAGTGTTTGATCTACTAAATTTTTATAATTTTTAATAAATTTTTAATCAATTGACTCCTACATGTTAAATAAGAATAATTATATTATGCGAGAATATTTTAAAAAACTTCTTTTTAATGAAATATTTTAAAGTATTTTGAGTTTTAAAATTTTTTTAATTACTTTTTATCTATTTCAAATTATATTTATCATATTTATTTCTAAATTAAATTTTAAATAAATTATCAATAATAGAATTTAAAA